TGTGTGAAGATGCTCGCCTGTTTCTCGCGAGCACTAATTTTCGACACAGCACCCGCAGAAGTGTGACTTGGCGGCCACCAGCCTCGGGCCAGTCATGGACGCAAATCGATCATATCGCGATCAGTTACCGCTGGAGAGGCTGTGTCCAAAACTGTCGCTCGATTTGGAGCACGAGCGTGGACTCTGACCACGCACTTGTCTGTGCCGACCTCCTGGTGCGTTTCGGTGGACGTCCGCGACGTCGATGTGAACGGATTGACACTAGCCAGCTGGCGAAGCCAGATGTTCTGAATGTGTACCAAGATGCGCTGGCATCTGGGCTGAGTAAGCGCCCACTAAACACCGTTGAAGATCACTGGTCGCACACTCGTCAAGCGTTGCTATTAGCAGGCATGTCTTCATGTGGCAAAACAAATTGCAAAACCGGACATTGGGTCTCCACACAGTCTCTGGAACTTATGGATGCTCGCCGACGTATTCCGGCTGGAAGCGAATACAATGAATCTCGCAAAAATCTCAGGGCGAAACTACGTGCTAGCCTTAGGAAGGACCGCGAAACCTGGTGGTCTCATCGTGCATCTGAGATGGAAACAGCCGCTGCCATTGGTAATCATCGTAAGTTATACCGTCTGATACGTTCAACAGGCAGCAGGAGACCTGGTGTTAGCGAGACCATACGCGACGAGAGTGGGCAGATGATCCACAGCCTGTCAAAACGCTTGGAGCGTTGGGCTGAACACTTTGCTATGCAATTTAACCAACCTGAGTTATCGTTTTCTTCTTCGGGCATTGAGCGCCCTTCTCCTTGGGCCGTCTCCTTGGATCCGCCATCACGCGCAGAAGTCGAACGTGAGATCAGGCTGTTGAAATTGCATAAGGCCGCAGGAGCAGATACTATTCCTCCAGCCCTCTTCAAGTTCGGTGGACCTGCTCTAATAGGTGATCTACACGAGTTGCTAGTAAAACTTTGGGAGCAGGAGACAGTCCCGACAGACTGGAACCGCTCCGTCATTGTCCCAATTTTCAAGGGAGGCTCCCGTTTGGTATGTGGCAATCATAGAGGGATCAGTCTGATTTCGATTGCCTCTAAATTGCTTGCCTCTCTCATTCTCCACAGACTGACTGGCACTCGTGAAAGCCAAATTCGTGAAGAGCAAGCCGGATTTCGTCGAGGTCGGGGCTGCATCGACCACATCTTCACATTGCGTCAAGTGTTGGAGCACCGCCATGTTTATTGGCGACCCACCGTTGTCGTGTTTCTTGACATAAAAGGTGCCTTCGATTCAGTCGATCGATGTGCCCTTTGGGACTGTCTGTTGAGGAAAGGTGTGCCTGATAAATATGTAAACATTATCAAAGCGCTGTACGCACATAGTTCGGGCAGGGTGAGGGTTTATGGCAAACTCTCGCCACCCTTCAGTATCACCAGCGGTGTGAGACAAGGATGCCCGCTGTCACCTTTCCTCTTCAACTTCGCTATTGATGAAGTCATGGAAACAGCGTTCGCTGGACACGACCTAGAAGGTGTGGAGCTACTCCCTGGTGAGCGACTTCTTGACTTGGAGTATGCAGACGATATTGCCCTAATCTGTGACGACTCCCAAACATGCCAAACAGCACTGAACCGATTAGCACTGGCTGTCAGTCGTTTTGGGCTATGCTTTGCTCCATCAAAATGCAAAGTACTTCTCCAAGATTGGCAGGGACCCAATCCTGCGCTAACGCTTGGTGGTGATCTGCTAGAAGTCGTTCAGGAATTCAAGTACCTGGGCAGCTATATTAGCACCCGTGGGATTGAAGATGAGGTTACGAACCGTATAGCAAAAGCTCGAGGTGCTTTTGCCAATCTCCGCCACCTGTGGCGCAGACGCGACATTACTCTCGCCCTCAAGGGCAGAGTTTACAACGCAGCCGTCCGTTCAACTCTCCTATATGGCTGTGAAACCTGGCCCATCAGGTCGACAGACATGAAGAGACTCGTCACGTTCGATCATCGCTGCCTTCGCAGCTTAGCTCATGTCTGGTGGGAACACCGCGTGAGCAATGAGCGTGTTCGACGTCGCGTATTTGGTGCAGGAAGAGCGAGTGAACCGCTCAGCACGATTATATCACGCACCAGGCTCCGATGGCTGGGCCACGTCTTGCGCATGCCAGCACACCGACTCCCACGACGTGCATTGTTTGCGCGTTGTGGGTGCGGTTGGAAGAGGAGGAGGGGAGGCCAAGTGATGACTTGGTCGCGAGAAATGAAAACCCTCACTTCGAAGTTGGCCTCGGTTGGTGCATCCCGACTGCCTGGCTGGGGTCCTAAGGACGGTGAACACGTTTGGCTGGACACACTTGCTGATATGGCTAGGAGCCGGCCCCAATGGCGTTTGTGTTGTGAGTTCCTTTGTCCATCCCCCTCCTGTTTAGCATCCCCCTCCAATCACGATCTCAATCGTTAGGCATAATATGACTTTCTTTTACGGCAGCCAGCTGTTAGCTCTCCGGAACGATGTCCATCCGTTACTGGGGACTCAGCGGGCGTGCCACTGTTTGTTTTCTTTTCTTTTCTTGCCTTTTGTATTGCGGCACAATAGCTGAGGTGTTTTCCACCTCCAGCTAACGTGTAATGATGATGATGATGATGATTCGACGCGGATAACGAATCAGCTATTATATGGTCAGCTGAGTTTGGGGAAGGGGCAGATGGGAAAATCGAGGCTTGGTTACCGGGACATGATCCAAGTAAGTCTATCACCTAATCTTGATTGCAGGTCATGGGAATCGAATGCGGTCGACCGGCGTGAATGACGCAATCTGATAACGAAGGCAGTTGCCAAGGCGCAGGAGAAAGCCCTCAGGCATGCGGAGAAGCGGCAAGTGCGGAAGCGGCAAGCACCCATGGGTTGTTCTCCATCGACATCAAGCGCATGGTGCTGTAGCACATGCGGTCGCGAGTGCTTGAGTAAGGCAGGCCTAGTGAGCTATGATTGACACCACTCTGGGCCACCGCAGAAACAACGACGTGTCCTGTTGAGAACGTAGGCGGAACCGGCGCAGCGTTTGTAGGTACGCTGCATTCGATTTGCTAACCGCGTGCTTGCATCCTGAGTCTCTATTTCAAGTGGCGGGTTTGCTATATTTTCCTAATGTTTTTTAATCATATATTATTATCTATCTGAACTACCTTCTATAAACTTGCACACGTCGCTTATGCTAATCGTAGTTAATTTCGATAACATTTTCGCGTTTGTGTCATTTTCTTAAAATGTACTTTCTGATGTCTGGAATCTATCGCGGATTTGTTGCAACCGATTTATTTCATATGCTTATTTGGTAAAGAGTTATGTCAACATATCTATATGCATTATTCAATTTATTCGATTTCATATCGTCTTCTCAAGTGATTAGTTGTTGGTTCATAACCCCGGTGTGGCTGCGCTTGATGTACGTGTTGACAAGATTCATACTTGTCTGCTACCCACTTCGTCCATGCTGGGCTCTAGGAGACAGTTGGTCTTTGCTAGAGGAGACGGGGTGCGCGGTTCTTGTGGCCGTGCTAGGCTCGAAGAGTGGTTCCATGCACTCAGTGTGGAGCGGACTACGGTCCAGCCACCGCCTTGTGTGCGATTGATTCCCAAATACAGCGTGCTTGTGTTTGCCTGTAAAGGAGTGTCGGCCGGTTCCGTTGATGAAATGTGGCTCCCACCCACATGCCTCCCGATCTTATTCCTTCGGGTTTACACTGGATATGTGGTGTGTGCATGAAGCTGTGGGTAGTGCGGCGCAAGCCACCCATGGTCCGTCTGTAGGCGCAGGCGTCCTGTGGCTGGCCACAGTGACAGACAAATCCGAAACCGGATGCCGCTAAGAAAATATATATATATATATATATATATATATATATATATATATATATATATATCACAATCTGTGGTGCCGATAATGTGTAATCGGAGTCATGGTGGAATTGACAACGGGGTCGGAATAAGAGGAAAATAATAGGAGGCGTTTTTTCTTCATATTCCCATTTACAGTTTTCGCTTTTTCTTCTTGCTTGTTTTATTGGGTGACGGAAAAGTAATCACACAACACAGAGATACACACTGACTTCGGTCTTGAGCTATGGGTTCCTGCGTCTGCAACCATCAACACTCCGTATTCTGGGTACCCCAACCAGGCAGTCAAGAACCACCGACCGAAGCCAACTGTTTGGTCCGCGTTTTCATACCACTTCGTAGACTGTCTACAACGCCGCCTACTGCAACCCTGCCCAACAACTGCGAACATTGTTCGACGCGGGCGATGCGGAGCGGGCATACACAATACGTGTCCAACACACAGTAGTTGATGAAGCACGACGACCTTGAGTGAGTGGCTGCATCCGCCCAAGACGCGATATCTAACTACCACATTAATTACGGGGTGCAGCCGCCACACACGGGCAGTGCACCGCAAGCAATGGGGCTCGAAGACAAACAGCCGGCACAGTTCATCGGTACGAGCAGGCCAGATCTGGCAACCGTACAACAATGCAGCACGGACAGTCGCACAATTAATCCGCTCTTTGCTGGAGAGACGAATGTCACCACGGTGCCATAAGCACCTCAGCCTGGAGAAAGCGAGACGAGCTCGTAAGATATGCATCGAAATGTCGTCTACAACAGCGCCACTAGCAGTGACGCAGCTTTTTAGGTTGACACTCAGTGTAGTTCAATTGATTTCTAAGACATGTAAACCAGTTTAGTTCGATACCACTAGTCAAGGCGCAGTTTTCATCAAAATAAAGCACTTTTGCCAGCAGGCAATCGTTGCAATCGCTACTTGCCTTTTCTTGTTTTAGCTCCCCTTTGTAACAGGATAATTTACCGCTTTTTCTATCTCTTACATTCTTTCTCATATATTTTTCTCAAATCTTGTTTCAATTCTATTTCCACTCGGCCTAGCCTTATATTTGACTTTTTTGTATTTTCCAGTCTTGCGTCACTGAACAAGCCCGTGGCTACACCGCCACAATGGGCTCCGAAGCCGAAAAGTGTCTAAGTGTGATAAAGCGCTTCTTACGATGTCCAGTCTGGTACGTTTTGAGCTTCATATTTGGGTTTATCACTTTGTTCCAGTTTGGATGATTTTCGAAACCCACTGTACACTCCATGCACTCATGTGTTTTGCAAGTTTTGCATCTATGAGCACCTCGGAGGTAAAAAACAAGCCAAGTGCCCTTTGTGCAACCGCGAATTTACGCGTCGGTATGATTGTCTCTTTCCCTTTCACATTGATCGGTCAGATCTTTGAAAACATCGATCAAGTTCACTAACATTGCTAAGGCCTGCGAAGATATCATCAAAAGCTATGAGAAAGAAAAAGGAACACCTGGTAGTCACTTTTTGTTACTTATCGCTCATACTAGTGTTGCCGAGCAATATTCCTAGCGAGCATCTCCACCTCAGCCAAGAAATGACCCAGTGCGTTGTTGTAGTATGGGCGAATACCTAATTCCACTAATATTCGTCTATCTTAGATGGGATCTGATCTCATCGCGCCTTCGGATCGTTCTCCCCCTGCACCAAAACTCAAAACTAAAAATCGACCACCACTCGTCCCTGCCTCAAAAGACGAGTCAGTTCCCCGCTCTTCTCGATCTCGCATCTTACTTGGCACATCGGCACGCAAAAGAAAAAAGTCACAGCAAAGTCCGACCAAAGCCATCAGTACTTCGACATTAGATGACAATCTTTCAACAGAACCGATGGTGTGCACAAAACCAAAGCTTGATTACTCATGTGGCGTCACACTCAATTTGATGAACAAAGATCCCCTTGATCTGGATGATTTGTTTACCTCTACACAACTAACACAACCAATGAATGACAGTTCTGATAAACTGACTGTTGTTGTAGACGGTGACAGTGCAGCCCGAATGCAACCGCCACGCACTCGTGCGCCTCGGGCAAGCATTCGTCTTCAGGGCGGAAGTGCCGTCTGTGCTGCCAGTGGTGTCTCATCTTTGCCTCCCTTGCCACCGGCCGCATTGGGGCACCCAATTAAATCACAGCGCATACGTTCTCACAAGCGAGTGACCGATTCCACTTTGTCTGATATGCCTCCGAAAATATCTAGGGAGGATACGGATGCTGTGAGCACTATTTCGGATCATGGATTGCTGAAAAAGACTCACGAAGTTCTCTGTCGTGTACAGCCTTCTAGGGAGGGAAACGATGGAGGCCACGTGTCGGACAATCGTGTAACTGCTCGTAGACTTAGCTCGGTCAAAACCGAGACACAAATTAGCCAGCTGAAACGTCGCCCCAGTACATCGTATTCCATTAGGTCTTGGCCGTCTAAACGCCAAAGAACCCCTTGTTCTGTTGACACACGCAACAGGTTACTTCAGAAGTATCGAGTCACCAGACCTTCGTTGTTGTCGTCCAATCCACTATTACGACATCATTCTTTGAAGAGTCCCGGTTGGTCTCGTTGGCGTGCGATGTGCCGTGAATTCCGGCGCCGAAGTTCCCTTAGATTGTCGTTTCGTCGTAAATCTGCTTCTGTAGTGCATTTTTCCACACCTGAGAATATTAAATTGTGTTCCAGTGATCGAATCACTTGCAAGTCCGCAACACGAAGTGGCGCAAATGAAACACTACGTGCAAGAATTCCAAGGTGCACTATTGATAATTCTAAGCATACCTTTCCCATTCCTGATGAAGAATCTCACCGAACTGGTTCAGTTTCTGAACATTTTTTGATAGCCACTTCGCATTTTCGAGAACGATCGAAGCCGTGCAGATTTATGCTACCTCTGAGTCGTTTGATCTCACGTAGTCGCTCTCGCTCGTCGATCCCACTCTGTATGGAGCCGCTCGTGAGGTCTACTAACTCGGACCCAATGGGGGATACAGGCCGCCAACTCTCGGTTTCAAACGGCCCTTCTGAACCTACTATCACACATAGTCCCTGTCAGATAGAACAGATTGTTGGCAATAATGACGCAACCTTTCATATTGAGGACTTATTTCGCATCCAGCATGTTCATTGTGGCGCTTGTGGAGAAATGCTTGTTTTCGATCCTGATTATCTTTCATTTACATCGAACTCACATCTGAATGCAGCCGGTTCCACAGAGTTAGCGATTTCCCGACCATCTCATCCATTGTCTTCAACGTACTGGCATGCGGAAGACCCTGGAGATACCATTTTACTGGATGCAAGCTTAGATCGTTTGGTACGCGCCAACCGCTCTTCTGCATTTCCAGATTTCCCGAAAAAATTGGTGGATGCCAGTTGTCAAACGTCCTTGAACACATGTACACATTCGACTGCAGTTGATGGTCCTGTTTCCACTACCTATTCGGCTGCGGTGAGTTGTCTTCGCTTAATCTTCTTGTCTCAGAACCGTTTTCATTGAAATTTCGTGGACGTTTTGCTTGCCTTCTCTGTACCAGTTTTTTTCTAACGGGGCGGCAAGCGGTACATTCTGGGATTATTTCCTTTTTTCATATGGTATTCTTAGTGGCTAAAGCACGGTGCCTATGGGCAACCTATTTTTCACTCACGGGCGTGTGCTTGATTTTCGGTCAAATTCTGTGGCACATTTAAGATGTTATCATCAAGTAAACAGTCGATTTTCTTTTTATATATCCTTGAGGAGCATCCTTTTAACTTGTTCTCATAGTTTTCGACGGTTTTGCTTTGCGTAGTCGGGTTACTCGGCTCCCACACTCCAAGTTCGGATGCACTGTAACCTTTTGATAAATCCTAGGTGTCTTCTCTACGAGAAACTCTGGTAACTAACTATTATCGCCGTTACTCGCAGTTTTGCGGTATCGTTAATTGCCCACCAGTTGACCAACAGGCCCATACTTTTGCCTCCGTAATGCTCGTTCGCTTCATTAGTACTGATTCTATCTGGTACGTTTTTTAATTTACACAGCCTCCTGTTACTGAGGTCCCCGATGGCTTAGCATCCCGGCTATCTCCCATTGCCGCTGCTGTTCCTTCTACTGTCGGGCCCGTGCGGTCGCACACTGATCCAGTAGCCTCGACTGCCAACCCTATACAGCTCTCGTTAAGTTCTCCGGTGGCTTCAACTATGTTATCATCCGCCTATCAAACAAGTGGCAGTGAACTTATGCCTACTGTGGTAAGTTCTCGGCTAGTCTGTTCTGTTACGCCATCATTTGTATTTCCGGTCACCTTTGTGCACATCGCGCTTAGTCATTCCGCCATAGGTTCTAACTCTCCCATCAATCGTATGAGATCAAGCAGGTTGCTATTCATCTAGCTACGTCTAGGAGGCGATGCGTTACCTAAATAACATACACCGTTGTTGAGGCTTACCGTGCGTAAATCAGGTGGTCTGCACTTGGATGGCTTACGTTTGCTTCATGTGAATTCCGCATTGGTAATTCAGATCTGATTACATTACCAAGTGGCCGACATCAATGGGTGGCATGTGTCCGATTCACTCCAGGTAAGCAACTATGGTTCGGACACTGAAGCGCAGTGAATTCAGTCGCCGCACTCGCCTCACCAAAAGAACGATAAAAAACTAAAGGAAATGAGGTGGAACGCAAACGGTATACAAAAAAGGAGTCGAGAAAGAAGTGTGTAAAATTATTCCAGGTGGAATATTAGTAGCTAAGTGCACGAAATCCCATGCAGCAGCGCCGCGGACTGCGTGACTGCTTCATATCTGGTTATGGTCTCTAGCCACTTATGTGGATCATCCCGAAGCTCCCGTCCACAAAAGTGGCACGCACCACGCTGATCAAGTTTTCAGTTATATTGCATATGCCCTTATGCCACATCATCGACAGCCCACCTTGTGGTTTCGCCAAACTAGCACATAATGCACGCCGTGGAAGGCGGTCAACGGACCTACAGAAGACATGGCCTAACTGACGTGGGCGGATAACATTGAGGAAACAGTCCATTGAGGCATCAGAGGGTTTCTTACCAAACACTTACCGTCAGACTTCAGCATTGCTGGCCCGGTGTTCTCACCTGATATGAGCAATACTCGGCAAGTAGCAGTGATCAAAGAGGATCTATGCCTCTGACCCACACACTAACACCATCCTTAATGCAGCGTTAAACACCCCAACTTTCACTGACTGGCTGACTTCCTGTCGTCTTTTAAATGCCACACGGGCCTTGCTGATACGCAAAGTAACTTCCTTAGTGGTGTGACCACCAGAAGTGACATAACTGCCAATCCCAGTTTCTGTTCGGTGGTTGCTGTAGCCGGTGGCGTATCAGACCATTTCTGCAACGATACTTTGCACTTTGAAAGTGCAAAGCACATGTCGAAGTGTGCGGCGCTACTTGTCAGTCTACTCGGTAATACTTGTAAAATGAGAACTGTCATCTGCATACAGTTTGTCAGTCGGTCACCTCTCAGAACTTCACGCCAGAGTTGACCGACAGGACAGTATCATTTATTATCTTTTAGATCAATAAGTTGGCAAGGAAGGGGTATGTGACGGGATTTTGCTATTATAGTCATTTGATGGGTTAAAGGAGCCGGCCAGACAGGCAATGGAAGAAGGAATTGACCGATTCGATCATTGGACGCTGATTGGCGAACACATTCGAAAGTGGCCACCATACGCACTCCGACGACGTTTGTTTCCTATGCGAACAGGCATCAGCAGTATGCTGGCACACCGTACCTGCGCTTCTTTTCCACGCAGACGCGTAGGCTGGATATACAGCGAGGTCGCTTGCATCCACGCGGATTCGGACCGAGGACCTCGGGATTACCAGGCAACCATGTACTCCTCTCGACTACCGGCCGACATGCATATGGGAATCCGATGGAGCGTTGCTCTGGTCCAGCATGCATGCATGCATAGGTATGAACAAAGCACAGTGGAATGTGACTGTTTACCAATGTGTCAATTTTGATAATTTTTTCCTGTTGACAATACGGATGATAATATGGACCCCCAACCCAAACGGTTGTCGAGTCGAAAGTCGAAGATCTCGACAACAAGCTTCCGTTATGACCAAAGAAATCCAGTCAAGCCTGTCTAAGTCGACCACTCAAGGGACAGACAAACAGTGGTCGCCATAGACAGGTTCATGTATAGGAATATCACTCATAGAAAACTTTGGGGATGCTTTTTGGCTCGTCACCATAGAAGCTTGGGCTGTACAACGTTACTTTCCAGTGAAATAACCGTGATTAGATTGCTTACCTAATATTTCCGTTATTAGCGTTTGCTTTTGTTTTCATTGATTAACCTAAGTCGGGCATTCTCATTAGTTGATCCAGTTCAACGTGCGCTCATTGGTTGGTTCCTGATCATCTGACTTCAAGCATCCATAGCCCATGATTGTAGAGGGATACGTGTACAAAGTGGACTCCGCCACATCCAACTAGAGCTGGCCGCTTAGCTTCGCGTAAACGTTGTTGCATTAAGCGCATGCAAAGCGGTGTTTGATGGGATCATATCAAATATCATATCAAACATCTCCAGAGTAGTCGCACCATACTGTGGACACGCATGTGACAGATAACGTGGAACAGTTGACTAATCGATTTGTGCATCGGCTTGGAGCAAATCAACCGGGGGTAGTTCGGTCGAGATTGGGTCATAATAAATTGCACGGTACAGACAAGCACGTTGTGAAAGAGTATGGCTGCGTGTCACGCGAGGCGGGGAAACCGGTCGCATCCGATCACATTGGAACGACTGGTAGTTTGAGGAACATGGACCAACAGGAGGGGAGCGTCGGTCGCGTCGAGTGACACCATCATCCTTGCGATTAGTTGCGTAAGTGAATGCTGGACAGCTATGGTCATCTTGGTTTATTGAATCGTAAATAAGACCGAGTACGTCGCAAGGGTTGTGATACGTGCTATATATACCTGTTCTGCACAAAGCGAAATCTTTGCCGGGTTTGCTCAATGCTGGACGTCTTGGGAGTGGAGGAGAAGAACCGCCAACATGGCAGTGGGAACAGAAGTAGTTGGCAGGTAACTGGGGTGCTGTCAGTCTGTCCCGCATTCCAAGCTGAGGCTCACTCGATCCACCGTACGCTTTGCTCGAGAAAATGCCACCAGTCCTATTGGCATGTTTGCTATCGTTCCCCTGTCTAGCCATTCGTTTAGGCCGTCTTTGATGCTATGGTATCTTTGTAAGCATGGCTGGTTGTAAGGCGGGGTGGCACTCACTCACACGACAACTAGCTGTTTGTGACGGTACTTCTGGCATAGTGAGACACCTTGTTAAGAATTCTCGCTTCCACCATCTTCATTAACAGCCAGTGGGGCTGTACGGCAGCGAAGCACCGGTTCCAAGTGCTGATGTGTTGTTACTACTGTTGTTGCTAATGATATGGATTAAAATGGTACTAGTTACGAGGTTGATGATGTTCCTGATCTTGTTGTCATTTAGTGAACCTGTGTTCCTTTCTGGCACATTGTCAGCCACAATTTGACTGAGTCTATCGAGTTCGCGCCATCTTTGCGCAAGTGTTTACGCCTTCTACTAACATGACATTCCTTAGGTCTGTGGGACTTCGTGACCTAATTTTTTCCGTAACTACGTTGAACTTACACGGTGTTACACCTTCATTTAGTAGTGCCAGTAAATAGCCAGCCGAATTCACGACTGCTTTTCTTCTGAAACTTTCCTGGACAGGTAGGTTACTATCAACCGACAAGTAGTGTCAGTTTTCCGCGAATATTTGTGTGACTCATCCAGTAACCGAATTATTGTGCTTTGATTCGGCGGTTCTTCACCACTGCGACAGTACGGTGGTTTCTCTCATCATCTGTTCATGACCTGTCTGTATTGCCAATAAATACTTAGTTAGCCGACACTCGATACCGGCTACTCTGAATGTTTCCTGCGGTCAGCGTGACCAAGTTGTTTATGAAAACCTACCGACGAATTTATTTTCAGCTGTCATTGATTTGAGGAGCCATTGGGCTGTCGGCACATCTTTGCACGCCATGACATCGAACTCATGGGCTACTGCCGACTCCCGTCCGCGAATTTTGACTTTTGAATTTACCCCTTAATGAATCGCCCTTCAATGTTTGCTCGAGGTGTTTACTATTGTTCTTCGTTAAATGTTGTTCACCCTTTATTGCTCCTATCACTATCGTGATATTCGGTTTCAGGATCGGGAACGCCTAAGAAACGAATGCAATGAGCTAGAAGCCGTCGTTGCCGCATTACAGCAACAGTTAGAGGCGGAAGCTGGTCAGTTGAGTCCCAACACAACCGCCGAGTTGTTAAGAGCTGCCGGCACGGAACCAATAGATGACGAAGAACTGGCAGTTCATCATTCTATTCTGGTCTGTTGTGATGTGGAGAATCACAATTCCCCTGCTTCTGGTGTAGCTGACAAAGATGCATCCTTATCAGAATCAGTTCAAGACCGTCTTTCAACTCAGGCGCCTGCTGATATCATTGCCCCACACCATTCAGCACAGGAGGAAGTAAGTTTCGATCAGTGTTCACAATGCTTACGATGTGAATCTGGTTACATTGCAAAACTTCAGCTTTATTGCAGCTGTGGTGTTTTCTTAGAACGAGATAATCACCAGTATCAAAACTACCTTACAGTTTTTAATTACTTACCTCAAGGTATTTAATCCTTTGCGGTCAAACCTACATAGGTAGCAATGTGTGGGAAATCCTCCTTGATTTCGCCACGATAAATGGAGTGCACCTAGGTTGCCCTGTCTCATTTCTCTTCAAATTTTTTATTTGAACCATCATGAATGATTTTCTCTTACGCCCTTCCAGTCGTTTTAGAGCAGGAATGTCTACGGGATGTCACGCTTCTGCGTTACTTGAGCTATCACCGTTTAATCTTACCATCTTACCGACTTCTCTATCAACAGCGGCACAGCGGTGCTTTGTATTGGGGCTTTCTTAACATACAGCAATAACGTGATCAGTGGCTTTACTGATGATGTGCGGATTGACACCAGGAATTACGGGGCGACATTTGCTCCCTAATCCCATATTCACGATGAGATATCTCACAATTTGCCAACACCATAAATCACTGAGTGGTATCCATGGACTAATTTCTATGAATCAGCTTCCTTGTTGATTTTTACACCCCATAGAGTAATCAACTTTGCACCGCAACCGATCAGCACTATCACACCGAGATGTTGACTTGTCCACCGAGGTTGGCAATTTGCTTACAGACGTTACGCCACCAATCAAGGTGATATTTTCAATGCGTAGTAACGGTTGGGCAGCAAAGCCTGTACCACTATTACCCACTGGAGATGTCGACCTCGATTGGTGGCGAAACGTGTGCAAGTAAATTAATAACCTCGGTGGACAAATCAACATTTGGACACATAATTCGAGCTAACATTATTTCGACTCATTAGGAACAGGCTGTAGGTCTAGGCGGATTTTTAAAACACAGTGCCAACCGATCCATCCACTTTAGATTGCCTAACTATTTTCGGCAACTTGCGGGTAGGTTACTTCTTAGAAGACTGCCTCTAACGGACTAGAATAGAACCCGCATCTATGCACGTTGTGTTGCGTCCCTTTTTCTACTCCAGAGGTCTTTTGGTCATTCAGGTCTTCTAACTGCGAATCGTGTTCTTGTCGCTTAGGTACCACGCACAGTCAATACATCCCTTCTCTACCGGAGATTTTCCGGACGTCCATCTGTCACATGGAGCACATATTCACTCTTTTATGTTGAAGAAAGCTTACAGGCAATGCAACAGTATTCGTCGTGTACCACAACTAAGCTGAAGTTCGGACAAACGTGTTTTCCGTAGCACCATCCAGTCAAAGACACAGTCCCAGTTCGTTTCGCCACGCGCAAACGTTCGTCTTAACTTTCCGAGGCGATGAACTAACGTACAGAACTTGTGAATCTCCCTGAAAACGGCGAATCTTACACGTTGTTTTTATTTGGTTACTCTCACGCTTGAGCTTGAATAAATAAACGGCTCGATGAGTGAACATCGTGTTACAACACGTCATCGCTTCACATGAATCTTTTTTTGACATCTCGAAACCAGATCGTCAGTATGCTGCAACCGCTTACTTTTTCCTCACTTATGCACGTTAGTTAATGTCCATCCGTCGTGCCCGCTTCCAATTATTTCCTACTGAACGTCGAAGCTTTTTCGACTTTGCGTCTTGCTAATGAAAACAGTGTCTCTTAGTTTACGGTTTCCCGTACGGATTTACTCAATCGAGTATCTGTTGACAGTAGAATGAAACGCACTCGCAGCAAAACTGGTCTTTTGAATTTGTAGGATCTTCCTCGAGTGAACAAATGTGAAACTATGGCATAACAATCTATCCGGGACCCTGATAAGCATGTAGTAGCTTCCGCGCCACTTACTATGTAATTGCTCTAATTTTACATACTACACCTAATGTAACTTTGTAATCGCTAGTGCTCTCTCATTATACGACATGGTACTTAGTGCGCGGATCCGTTCCAAGGGGCTTAGCTCTATCTTCTGCGTGCTTTTACTGCACACTAAACTGGCGAATCAGTTCGTTGCATCTCACTTAGCTGATCAATCAAGTGGAGTGTAACTGATCGATGTGTATTTGTGAATACATTTGCCACTTCGTAACAAGGGAGTCGAGGGTGTAAACACCACTATTACCAGAAACAACAGCAATCCATCAGGCATTTGATCTGACGTTTCGCTGTCGGGCAACCACTACGACCTAAGGAATGAAGAATACTGAGAGCGAAAATATAAGGCCTGATGTAGGGCCCAACTATCATAACCAAACATACAATGTCCCACGTCTCGTCAACAGCGTACGGTCACAAGCAGCTGGATATTGTGCTGAGCTAATACGGCATCGGCGAAATAACCTCAGTGCAGTTTTCCATGCACCTCATCATAGCAAGCTATTGCCTCACGAATATATATATATATATATATATATATATATATATATATATATATATATATATATATATATATATTCAACACGGCCAATAGTGCAATTGGTATAGTACCACGACGTATGATGAATACGACAAACGTACAAAGATAGAGGGGAAAAACCGATGTTTATTGGAATAGTGCGTCACAACGAGTCCGTCATTGTGCACGATTTCTCGCCATATCCGAGAGTTTTTCCAGCCATGTTTGTTCCGATTTCTTCGCACTCCAGCCAGGGAGCCGAGAGCGCCCGACCACGGCTAACTTTGACGTTACCTCCTTTGTGCTCCTGGCCCAAGTCATACGTTGGCTACCTTGCTTCCAACCGACTTCTGCGTGTGCAAAGGGGGCACAGCGATGAGTATGCATACAGAGAACGTGCCCAAGCCACTGAATTCTGCGCAGAGAAATTATACTGCTCAGTGGCCAGCAAAGTCTGTCTGATCTGAAAATCCTTCATCGAATATCTTCATTCCTAGTTTGATGTTGCCATCGTACACCAGCAATGCTCCGAAGGCAGCGGTGATCAAAAACAGACAGCCTCTCAACATACTTTGCGCGAACATGCCAAGTCTCGCAGCCATAGTTGAGAACTGCTCTCACTGTGACATTGTAAACTCGGCCCTACAGAGCTAGACTCAGATCACCTCGGCGCCAGAGATGGCGGAGATTGACAAAAGCAACTCTAGCATTGGAGACGCGCAGAGAAATCTCATCCGTTAAACCATTAGCGCTGAGGCAGCTTCCGAGGTATATGAACTTGTCAGTCACTTCCAATGTATGACCTATAAGACTATGATAAGGAGCAGCGCCTAGCCAGTCCTGCAGGAAAACCTTGCATTCCGATGAAGCGTAGGTCATTCCAAACTGGGAGACAAACATCTCCAACATACACAGAACATTTTGGGCAGCCTGTTAGGAAGCACAGATCACGGCGATGTCGTCTGCATACTCCAAATCCCGAACTCGGTCCCCCGGAAACAGCTCGACGCCGCTGGGTTCGCAGTTCTCCAGAGCACTCTAGAATTTCGTCTATAGCGAAGTTGAACAAGAAGAGGAATGCAGGGCAACCCTATCTCACACCACTGGTTATACGAAAGTGGGGCGAAAGTCCGTCGTGCACCCGCACTCTGTTCGTAGTTTGAGAGTAGATGGCTTTAAGTAAGGCGACATACTTCTCGAGCACTCCCCTTCTCAGTAGACAACTTCAGAGAGCAGCTCTGTCGACTGAGTCAAATGCGGCTCGTATGTGTAAGAAGACAACGATAGTTAGCTGGCCAAATGTTTGACGACGCTCGAGTATTTGGCGGAGTGTAAACATTTGCTCGATGCAACTCCGACCTGAGCGGAATCCAGCTTGCTCTTCACGTATGCTCTGTTCGTGTACCAGGCTGAGCCTCCCTAGAAGCAGAGCTGCGATTACTTTGGAAGCAACACAGATGAGACTAATCCCTCTGTGGTTGGCGCAGTCAGTTCGGGTACCCTTTTTGAAGGCGGGCATGATATCCGTTAGGCTCCAATCAGATGGGATAACTTCAGTGACCCAGATCTCTTGGAGAAGAGAAGTTAACTCGTGGGCAAGTGATGGGCCGCCATCTTTGCAAAGAGCCGGAGGGAGTTCATCTGGGCCAGGGGCTTTGTAGCACTTTAAGAGGCGAAGCTCGTGGGCAACCTCAGCCTCTGATGGTGGTGAAGCGTCTACACACCAGGGATCGCTCTGGACTCCAGCGCGAGAACTCATTGGTGTTGCTGGCTAATTAAACTGTCGCTCAAACTGCCCGACTCAACGCTCGAATCGGGGTTTTTGACAGTGGATTGGCTCTCCATTGGTTTCACATAAAACTTCGCGTACAGTCGGCCTTTTGCCGCCAATAAATCGGATCAGGAGGAAAAGCTTACGGAAATTCCCGAGGTGGCCGCTTGCTCCATCTCAATGACCCGCTGCGTCCACCAGGCCTCTCGATCTTCCCGGAGAAGCTGTTTGGGCTCAGCGTTAGTAGTTTTACGTGGTGTATGGTATTTAACGCTAGTAGGAATGGCTCGACGGGCTTCGAGAAGTTGGAGAGATCGTGCAGAGATCCAGTGATTGACAAAACTACTGGTGCAGCCACAGACCAGGGTTGTACATGGCGCCGCGGATGTGTGTCCAGTGTGTTTCAATGTCCGTGCATGGGTCAGTCTTCAACCTTGAGGTCAAGGTACCATGTAATGTCTGGAGAACGTTTGGAACAGAAAGCTTAGCTACATCAAACCGTTTCTGGGACGCTGCTGGGAACCACCAAAACGTGGCGCAATCTTGGCACACATCAGTGCGTGATCCGAAGTGAGATAAATACTCCAGATTGATTTTCAATCCTGTATGCTACCTCGCCAGCGATAGCTAATGGCGATGTGGTCAATTTTTGTCCACGACTAGCCAGGTGATGGGGGTCTCTAGGTGGCGCGTTGGCGCCAAGATCCCCGAAAGCTAGTACTCGACTGAAAGAGGCCGTGATCGGCGCCAAGCTATAGTAATCGATCATCGTTGTCACTTCTGCGAGCGCCATGGTCATGTTGACCACCGAGTTCACGTTCGTCAAATTCAAGGCTACCGACCTTCGCATTCAAGTCCCCAGCGAGCACCACGATGTCAATACGGCGCTTTTTACGGAGAAGGTCGGCCAGTTGACCATATAACTCATTTTTAACTGACTCCGGCCTGCAATCTGTGGGAGGGTACGCTGCGACAATGAATAGACAGCGTCTGCTGGCTTCGCACCTGTACAGTCGCACTGAAGTTGCAAGTAGGATCGCGCGTAATCGACTGTTAACAGGGATCCAGTATAGTAGCGCGGCCTCAGCACGTGTGCTCAACGCAATCCCCACGCTAGCATAGCCAGCAGTTTCGGTGCTTTAGTCTTCAGATAGGCGCAAAGTGAAACTGCCAGTGAAATTCGCAGACGCTGAAACTAGTCGCAGCGTCGTGTTAGAGTCCTGTACACGGGTCTCTCTGAGACAGCAGACATCAATGGCCGTAGTTTCTAGAGTGCGAGCAAGGGTTGCCTGTGATCCAATCTGCATCAGCGTCCGAACATTGAAGGTTGCCAGCTTGAATTGGGAACGGGGCACTAAAGTGGCTTGTTAACACGACTTGGCGCATCTTCGGACCTAGGCTTCTGATCCGCATAGCGCGAACGTTCGCCCAAGGCGGAGGGGGAAGACCAAGAATGGGGGTTGAACAAACGGAATAAAATGACTAAACAGTGGTGCGGTAAAAAGTGGTCTGGCAGGTTCAGCCGCCAGCGTCTCGGCCGATAAGAGCAGTTAGAGCGAGAGCGGAGAGAGCGAGCGAAGACTTGTTGAGACATGGATCCATAGGTTGTGTGGGCATAGTACTTTCCGGTTGCCCAGGCCGAGGAAGAGAGTTGACTTAGGGGACCCCACCCGGAGTTTTGGGTCATGAAGACCTATCCCGCAAGGCAGCGGGGCTATTGACCTATACCGCGACCGTTGGGAGCCGGCTTTCGAGTCGAGGCAAACTACTCAGGGCGCCCAAAGAGCCCCAGTAAAGCAGCAAGGATTACCGAGCTCGCCGTGAAGCACGAAGGCCGTTGACAGCCGGGTGGCTCATACGCCTTCATAGAAGCCGGTGGCCATCGAGGTTGTTCATCCGCCCTTCGTTAAGTACTCACTTCTGTGACCAGAAGTGAGTGGTCAGTGACCCTATAGCCGGTCACATTGACTTTGACACAGCGTCTTGCAAGCTCTTGTGGTATTTAATGGAGAACCAGGTGACCAATCCAGAACCGCCCACGCTCTAGGACGCTGCCGCTGATTGTCCGCGACTGCTTATTCATCTCGTCTGTGAACAGCCGAGACTTATTCAAGGCATTCCCCGATCCGCAACCTGGGGACGCGCCCGGTGGCGTACAGCTCCGCTGAACCAACCAGTAGCCTCACGAATAACTTGGCATTAGATACAATTTAAACGGGTGTTTTGGCTATGCAGTGACAACAAACTCGCCACTATGAACCATGTTCTGTGACTTATCGAGCCAAGCATAAGGCGGGTCTCGTTGACTCTAGTCTTCAGGGCGAGACGCATCAGTAGCGCACAGTTTACTAATCAGCGATTTAATTTTCCTCTCCCAAGTCGACTTTTGCCTTTCCTCGAGCCTTGCACCATCCTACATCTGACAGATAAAACCGGACATACTTAGCACCTGCTCAAGCCAACGTAACATTATGCGCGGTTCGCTGTTCTGAAAAAGCAACCTGACTATCTCCACCTAGTACTCGTTTGCGAACATCATCATGGCATGCACGCTTGGTGCAAACCGACACCAGTAATGGTTTGCGAGCGGCGATCATCAAGTAAAAAGAAGCGATTCGGATCCCCAAACCGAAGGGGCCATGTCGCAATTACATAGAGTAGGATGGCTCTCACTGTGCCTTGTGCACATGGCTTTTCAAACCGAGGGAAATCCCGTTCTCATGCCACAGATGTTGCAGGTTCAAGAATACTGTTTTAACTTACGCAGCCACATGCCAATCGGTGTTGACGCAGCTGTTAAGATAGGGGACTTGGTCAAATTATTATGGTTCCTAGTCACCAAGTATCAAATGGTCACGTAGTGATGGGTGGTCGCACGACAACACTGCACTTTGGAGGTGCAAACCGCATATGAAATTTCGGGACTACTCCGGACTATCTATCCAGAGTTGACTGAGCCCCCGATCTTGCCTGCACAATCCAGATTTGCTAATTTCCCAACAGACATCATTCCGATCCCAATTTCGTTAGACTCCATGCTAGAGTCCACGATAAAGTTGAACAAAAATAGGAAATTTGGGCAACTGTGACAAATGCCACTTATTGTTCGCAGTCCACCGTTTACTCGGATGCAGCTTGTGGCGTTCGAATCCAGGGCACAAAGAGCGTCCACATACGTAATGGGAACACTCTTGATAATTATTGTTTAAGGGAATGGATCGATGAACTGTAGGACGCACTCTTGAGCTGAAAGAGCACAATTATTATTGATCTCCCATACAGTTGACGCTGTTCTGGCACCGGCCGCAGAGAGTGAACATACCCCATACAGCCCCTTCCCGTACGGAAACCAAATTACTCTTTCCTCATCCGAAATTCATGTTCCGCAGCGAGTTGACGGATGAGAAGTGAGAACAGTACCTTTGTCAGTGCGTACGTTAAATTGATACTCCCGTCGTTGGCAGAGTCGGAGCGGTTACCCTTCTTACATATCGCCTCCATGATAGATTCACTCAGTAAGCTGAGATGGTCTCTTCACAACCTGCTCGAACAGATGAGTCAAAGCCTTTCGGATCTGCTTACCTCCATCCTTAAATATCGCAGCTACAGGGGAGGCGGGACTAGCAGCTCGAGAAAGGTTGTGGGCTGTGTTCGTATTTCACACCTCAGCTCCTGTTGGATCCTGTAAACTAACTAGCCCTGACTCAGGCCGCATCATCTGAATAAAAAGGGTCGGGAGCTAGGAGTCAGCTAAACTGTTCCGAATACTCTCTCCCCGACTGGCCAGATGGCGTTTTCCTGTGAATTGGTGCACCGCTGCTCTTCACGATTGTCTTACTAACGCATAACTTCTTCGGATCGAATCATTTGGAGAAGTTTGTGGGAATTGACCGCTTCTCCCGCCTCTTCCATAGCCCCAACGCTTTTGATCAACCAGGTTCCCTTATCAGCAGGAAGACTTCTTCTCAACTGTGTCAAGCGTTGCTCGCAGAGCTCTGGCTTAATGACCAAGGCCTAGGATGTCAACTACCAGGTGTCGCGATTCACTCTCGGCTGAGACTGTTCTCTACCTGACTGGGCAAAATCAGGATGAAACCGATCGCTTACAGAGTGCACTGTTGGGAGCCAGCAGCTCCGGAACTCTTCATTTCGTATGCGGTCCCAGTGATCGAAATACTTAAAAGCAAATCGCGACCGCAATCCAGACATACGGTGGGTCCTCCAAGGCCCAACAATGAACTTGAGACAGTTTATAAATCAGTCGAACTCCTATATGTTGTCCCTCTTTCTCATAAATATCTTATTTTTCTAGTGCTTCTGTTTACTTTCTGTTTTTCTCTCTTGTTTCTCAACGATTTTTAATATCTTTGCTATCGCTATCACTGGGAACAAAGAGACTGGTTTCACCATTGTTCACATAGTCTCTTCACATGTGATAAGCTGAATTCAAGTGGACAGCGGTCTTTTTTCTTTTAAAACATGTTTGTTCATTTGATGTGAAGTTATACCTTAAGTCTAGCATCTAGTACGTCATGCGACATTGACTTGCTTCGTTCAACATGAATGCAAAATGTTCCTACATTAGCGTACCTCTTTGCTAGCGCTAACTACTTAGTGAATAAATACATTTTCAGCACTTTGTCAAACTAGCCGCTGAATAGTATAGGTAGCAATTCGTCACATCTGGATTCAGTCAAACAGCCATCACACGACCGGAAAAGCACTGTACGCATGTTTCATCCTTTCGGGAGTCGTCAGCAGTGCGCATTCCATCTGACCCCGGTAGGGCTCGAACCCACAACTCGACTGTCGCCAGTCTGTGGTTGAGACCACTAAAATACGGGGACGGCAGCTACCGTCGTGACTAATTAACCTATACCATTCCATTCCCCTAGAACTCCTTTGTAATTAGCCACTGAATGCCACTAAATCCGTGATTGCATAAAGCGTCGATGCCTTGGTTCGCTCTGTCTACTCCAGTATCGTGAGTGGAGCATAAACAATAGTTGTAAGCTAATAAATTCCATTTTCGACTGGAATAACGTAATATTTTTAATTACTTGCACTCACGACACAATTCTGTTCGCTTTGCCTTTCAACCTCCTAGCTCACTCCCCCTCCTCAGACTGTGGAGACTTGCACTCCAGACGCAGTGGATGTCATCCCCTCTTCTCAGGTGGAAGATGAACAGGATCCAGCTGCTCCTTTACCCACTGCACCTGATGGATCTCAGCATTCCCTTGAAAATCACGCCATTTACAGCCAGAGCGACAACCAGATCCACGTTCGCCGTGTGGAAGCAAGCCAGCCGCCAAGTTCACTGAGTATGGTGCCTGGAGAGGACTTCATCCCTGCTTCCGTTGACTCTCAGCCACTGTTACAGATGTCCAGGCTGCCGAAACCGTCTGGAACATTGACAACCGAGCTCACTCAATGCCCGGAGAGTTACCTGGACTCGCAGATGACCTGCCCGAATAATATCTCCGCCACTTTGGAGCGAATTCGTGTCCATTCATCTGTCGTCGCAGTGACCGGTTCAAACCTGAATGGAAATGATGTCGTACGTCATAGCGATGTCACATCGTTTTATATAATGACCGTTGGATTTTGATCGCACGTTCTTGTTTGTGCATCCTTATCCAAACTTCAGGGGGCAACTCACGCGCTTTTAACTAATTTTTTGCATTTGTCTACTTACAGGCAATGTTGCGTTCCTTCTGCCGTCGTTTTGGAGTCTCGGAACATTCACGGTTCGTTCCACAGCAAACAACTCATGTGGTCATGAAGGCGGAACCAGGTGAGTTATTTTGTTGACGCTTTTTGATTGTGGCTCGTCGTTTCTCCATCTTTATCTCCTGGATGTACTCATTACAGACGATCCATTTTTGCACATCTTGGGCCACCGTAGTTTTAATCACTTTACACTTCTTGCAGAGGTTTTTCACACGCGCATGCATTTTGTCAATAGTCTGCACCCATATGTAGAAAATCATTTATCCACTTGCAAATCTATGGCAATGCAATCGCAGGATCCGTGGTTTAGCGGTTCAGGTGTTTCGCTTACGACCTCTACGTCCCTGGCTCGAGTTTTCGCCTTCGATTACTTTTGGGTCCGTTGACACTACCCCTGCCCGCCTGCGACCGCTAACACTTGTACAGCGACGATGTATCGTTACGAAATACCGATATGCTACTGACACTACTTTACTTTGGTGAATTTTACTGTGGATGTCATCGTTGAGCACCTTAACCTCACTCTTGCCATTGCCTACCGCTGTCTACAAACACCTAATCACACGTCTCAGACTAAGCTAGCACGTGTTTCTGCTGCCCCTCCATCGCTATCTTATAACTAACTTTGTACGGCGTCACTGGACTGTCTCCTGTGCTTAAAGCGTCTACTTTTGTCAAATCATGCACCTCATCGATACACCAGTGTCGAATATTGTCTGCCACTTCATCGCCCCTGATCCCGAGTGACGCCGGTTCGGTGGTGTACAAGAATACATCTGGGAATTGACCAAATCATTAAAGCTGGCCATTGCATGTCCTCTTGTTCATGAACGCACCATTTCCATTGTTTACTATTCCACATTTCTATGCTCCTTAAGGATATCGTTATCGACTGATAAACCTCACCGCTTTGTGTTCTCATACAACCAACAGTGACCTTGAGCTTACCATAGTAACATGAAGCACATCAGTCGGTTATCATTTGGTTATCAGTCGATGTAAGGTAACTTTGTTTTCGAATATTTCATTCACTTCTTTTGCGGGATGAACGAGAATGCACGCCACCTTGCTATCTGCGTTTTTGAAGCTACAAGAAGGGCTTCATTTTTTACTCATTATTCTACCGACTGACAGGTTGCGTTCTTGCGCATTGCATGACTTTAGAACTCGCATTTGGTAGTTCATTAGAGTGTATTGGGTTCTGGTGTTCCGTCTGTTTATCTAGCTATTCTTGATTCTTTACGAAACTGACTGTTGCGAATTTCCGGAAAGCATGAACGTCCTACAGGACCGTCTGCCTATCTTCCTGCGTGTCATTAGTATCACTCTGCTTTCTTTTCTGTGTTGTCCCAGTCAGTGTTGTTTTACTGAAAAACCAAACCAGTAATCTAACTGAAGCATCATTCATGGAGTTCTTGCTTGAGTCCCTTCACTTGTGTGGATCTGGTCACCCTATCCTGTGCTGTTAACAGTATCTACCTTCTTCGCTTTCATCGTCATATTATGTAATAATGTATTTAATATACAGTAAAACCTCCGTAGGTTAATCACTCAAGGGACTGGACCAATGTGATCAACCTGGAGAGGTGGTCAACTTAAGGAGGTTCTATGCCAAAACTCAAAGAAACCTACTTTCCCGCTGTGAGTAGTATAGCATGCAATTTATTTTCGCATAAACCCGTTTCGAACACATTAGACGAGGTCTCACGTAACCTCAAACGCAGTTCAACCAAAATGTGATGTGTCTTTTGAAGTCAAATCATTTGTTGAAGAAAATGACAATCTTTACACGCTTCTCTTATCACACAAGTGCCTGAACAAAGCACTCTCAGCATATGCCACACTGTTTAGCGTGCTTTACGTTTTTTTCAACAAATGATTTCAGTTGCATTAAAAGATGTCTGACTTCATCTTCTTCTGAAGTTTCTGTCATCTCCAACTCATCGTCACTCAGTCCTTCCACTTTTTCATCGGCATCATCCGGTGTTTGTTCTTTGTTTCCGTAGGGAAGTACCACAGTTAGCATCTTTTGGAAAATAGCATTTGGGTCTGGTTCAGTACAAGTTACCAAGTCATCATCCATTTCAACAAACCCTTTAAAATCTATTCCGTCGAACTCTGTTAATGGAGATGAAATGTCTAATAAGGCGACGACATCCCACTCGATAGGTTGCACTTTGAACCAAGCGGAACTTATCCAAAGCACAGCACATCCGAGACATTAACTGAAGCAACAGATGAAGTTCCTTCCGCATGAATATCATTAGTATGCAGTGTTGCCATAGCCCGTTGCATGAGCTGGGCTCGGTAGTGCGTTTTTAATATTTTGTTAATCCCTTGGTCTGTAGATTGAATTTGGGAGGTCATGTTTGAAGTTAGCAACTTGTGTAATATTCGTGATATATTTCCATGGGTTTCACTTGGATAGTTATCCACTATTAAGCTCATGAACCGTTTCTTCGTACTCATTTTTTGTCGATACTTCTGGCAGCGGTCTTCCACGCGGATTGGTTTGATCTCCATGTGACTGCAAGCTTTTCAGGATTTAGTTTTTTGAACGCACGGGGTCTAGCTGATTTACCAATGACCAGGGGGTTTAGCCTCTCCCCGCTTGAGCTTGCGCACAACAGAACTGTGAGACGTACTTTGGAATGTTTTCCACTCCTACATTTGTCACCCTTTTACTCAAGGCTTCTGTTACGCATCGCCTTGAAAGAGAGCGCAATCGTCCGCGTTAACAATGTCGCTGATGTCTTAAACAAACTCTTCGGACACTTCTTTGGATTCACCAAACATACTCTTTGGAAAATGTCTTATCGAACTTTAAATTTCTCTAGCCAACCTTTGGATGCCTGGAAATCTGCAATTCCAAATTCTTGTGAGAACCTTTAGGTATTTCTTGGATCATTGGCCCAGAAATTCAAACATTAGTTGTCCTCTTTTACTTGAACCAGTTCAGCATATCCTCACTTATTTAATCGTGTGAAGTTTTCCACATCCCCCGCTGTAGTTTTCTTTTTCATTATCGTATCTCTCTAATTACTCATGTTTGTGTCTGGATATTGCTAACTCTTGTCTTGCTAACACCAAAATTCTTTGCCGTTTTTCTTTAGCTACTGCTTTCCAAAAAATATAGCAGGCTAATCTTTACTTTCAAACTCAACTCTCTGAGGTCTTTTCTTTGGGCCATACTGTTGATTTACTCGTAATGACCTAAACTCTACAGTTCTATTGGCGTAACATTACTTACAATAAGTTGCCGCAATTGGTTTCACTGTCAGGCAGATACCAAATATAGCCGGATAAACGCTTGTCAGCTAACCTGAGAGGGGGGTAAACGTCAATCTCGCCACAGTCCAAGATGCTAATGAACTGATGCGTAAATTTGGTGGTTAATCAAGGGTTTGACAGTCACTGAAACTCATGATTGCGATGAGTGGACACATGTTCTTAGGAGTAGACGAAGGCTTGCCTGTGGACAGATGAAGGAGGTTGAACACAAATCCTTCTAGGTCATTCCGTTGGCGCTGATCTATGGGGACCCACATTGATCTAGTTCAGTGGTTCTCAACGTTTATGAGGCTGTTCACTATAAACAGTTCACTATAAACAATTGCCCCACAAAATTTTTTTAAGTTAAAAAGCCAAATACCTATTAACTACTGCATTTTTGTTTTAAAGTACAAAGAATGATTACTCTTTTTAATTGCTTTTGTTCATCCAGTTAAAGCAAACACCTATCTTTGAGAAATTTTTATTAACTCAAGTGGCGATGTATGTCATCGAGACGATTTTTATTGTATTGATGAGCTAACTCATCATCGCCACTCCCAATCATCAGGCTTAAGCTAGTCTGGGAAAGCACCAGACGCCGGCGTTTCGACCTACTGGGTCTGGTCAGTGATGCGCCTCCCAGCGGACCCCTGCCGGGTTCCGCCCCCATGACTTCAGGATGCCAGCAGCTAGTGCCACTTCGCCATGAGTGAAAGCCGCGGACCTGTGTGATTGACATTTGACTATGATATAGCCCGGCTCATCTTCAACTGCCATGCCAGTTACGAATTGGCTAGCCTGACGAGTTAGGAGTTTCCGCATAGCGCCAACGCACCGCATAGGACTTAGAAACTATACGGACAGATTTTATAGTACTTATGAGTAGTGAGGATTTTGGCATAATTTAGCTAATTCATCGTCGCCACCCGATTTTTATTGCCTAGTTCTAACAAACTTTACCCTACTCACAAACATCCAACATTAATTTCCTTTCTATTTGATGCAGTTTCGGCTAATGCACATCGTAAGTCGTGCTCTAAGTTCACTCGGTTCCTTGCCTTGGTGTGTGATACCTGATCAAACCGGAACGGATGTCAGTGGCTTTCATTTGTTTTAAACATCCTTCCAACTTTCTCCTAGATTAAGTGAGGTCCATCGCAGCCAGTTTCCAAATCAGATAGTCGTCCACATGCCCGGAAAAGCACTAGACTGCAGTTTCAGCCTGTTGGGCATCGTCAGTAGTGCGCATCCATCGGATCCATTCTGTATCGATGCATCCTGGACATTAATCGCCTGTTTTATCAGTTCTACATTGTAAACATTCTTTCGCTTTTTCACCTGGTCGGCTGACCCATTCTCCTACCTTTGTGTTCGCTCTACTCTGTAATTCGACCTAACGAACAAATGCTTGACTCAGCCGAACAACGCTCGATGAGCGAGCAGATAGAGGCGCCATTTAGCTGCGCTGCTTTGCAGGCCTGTACTCGTATTTTTGGCTAATAGAGTTTATTACCTAAGATAATCTAATTCTGTGACCACTCACTAATGATTAGTCGTTGATGCCCAATAAATACTGATTCCACATTTAGCTGGATGTTTTGATACTGATGAGTCTGTTATTATTATTGTTTGGTAACAGATTGATGATCAAACGATTGTACTTATATTTACTCCCGTAAAAATCAATGTTACCCCCTTGGGGATAATTGCTCCCAGCTTGAGAATCACTAATCTAGGTAATAAGCGTGCGCGCAAACGCTGACGGTCGGGACAAGCACTACACACAGAGAACGTGTTGTATTCTCACTGATTTGGGGGTCAGAAGTCCACACATTGCAGTCCCGCTGCACACCTTGTTATCGGAACAAACGAGCCATTCGGGAACCATTGGATAGTAAACCCACAAATGGTCAACTTATGGAGATTGAATTATTACTGACTGTCATAGCCCAAGTGGTCAACATACAACTTCAGAGGTGGCCAACGTACAAAGGTCTGGTTCCATAGATTTTACACGGAGACTGTACAAGCAAAAAAAGTGGTCAACATATAGGGGTGGTCAACGTTGGAGGTTTTGCTGTACTTTGTCTCCCTCATAACCTCCTGTTCTTCAAGGGCAAACAACTTATTTGGCGAAACTGGTGATGTGTGTGGCACTCACGACACTGGCGTTTCTGTTCTCCGATGGTATCTATAACCAACGACACCATTTTCACACCTCGACACAAGCGACTTTCTCGATCGTGCTTCTGTCATAGGGAAAACCAGGAGAATTGTTTTGGGGCACACTGCTAATCAATCATTAAAGCCGCGCATTCGAGCACTTATGCCCAGATCTACTGCTGACATAGTGTGTTTGGCTGACGTTCGACGTTCGTCCATCAATGCTCCGTTCGTTTTCATTGACTACTCCCTTCACACCCTTTTCCTCCCAAGTGGTTGTTCTAAAGCAGCCAGCGTATCTTTCATAATGCCTACCTTCTTTCTTTCGGTCCAGCGTTGGCCAGTGATCTACGTTTTTACCCTGAAGTCGAAATTTGAAATCCTTGTGGATGCAATATACACAACACTGGCGCTACTGATGGTGTTTGCGTGCCAGCAAAGCCTCGGTGTGCTGGCGTACTGCTGCTCACCTTGAAGGTCTAGATCACTTCAGGTTTTTGCTTTCTTACAGGACTTCACCACGGTATTCTCATTTCCAGTACTCCTATTCAGTTATTGCTCGGCTATGATTTTTTACAGGGGCTATACAGTATAAAACGACTGCCAACGGACCCATTGCGTTTAGGTCTCACGCATCCCCCTCCCCTTTCTGTTCCTGTTAGGCGTTATCGTTTTACTGAAACCCTCACCTCTTATGATCAACCATCGACCTTCTTTAATGTGTCAGTTTTCACTTTTGTCTTCTCCGTCCAACCGCTGATTTGCAAGCAGGCAACTGTTCTTTTGTTTACACAGATCGCCCGCGCGTGGTGAAACGCACTTTGAAGTATTTCATGGGGATCCTCGGTCGCGCCTGGATCGTCAACACCGATTGGATTCGCGACTGTCTGGCAGCAGACCGCGTTCTTAACGAGGTAACCCAGCTTATACTTCCCGCCTGCTGTTCTTTTCCAACTGCTTGGTGGTTCTGCTCAATTTCTAATCTCTACATCACCCTCAATTCATTTCTAGTGCAATGCTTACAATGTGTCCGTGATGGTACTACTACAGCGCAAACCCACTATGAGTGTTTCTCCTCTGTTTGGCAATAATTCCTATTATTATTTAGATTACCTGTAGCTTGGGTTGCGGATAAGGTTGTTCGGTTCTCCAAGCTAGACATTTTTGTTGCAGATGTTTCCGTTGCCAAGCTAAGCAACATCCTCAGTTCGGCTATCAAGATCCGATTCGCAGAGTCCCGTAAGCCACTGCTAGATCCCAGTAACTATTGATTGTTGTCTACTTTTAATGTCACCATTCGACTGACTTCTCCCTGTTGATCTGACATCTATTGCTCCGGGTGCTTGTTTATTGAGTTCCGATTCGAATGCCAGACCTCGATGAATTCACGCGCCCTACGGTTTCTTGCTTTTCCGACTATCTTGACTTTCTTCTGATCGAACTGATGATCCTCGGCATTCATATATACTGACATTAACAATTTCTTTTCATAACCGCGGATGACTAGACTATGTTCGAGCAGCGTTGTGCCAGGTTTTCTTCCTGTCTGGCCCACGTAGTACCTGTCACAATTTTTGCAGGGAATTTCGTAAATCACACTTGACGTTTCGTTTTTATTCAGCTGGTCTTTTGCCTTGAATAGTTTGCACCGAATAGTTTCCGTTGCTCCATGTGAAACGCTTATCCCGTGAGTAATTAAAATCTTCGCTGCCATCCCAGTGATTCCATGGATGTAAGACGATCGTCGCACTTGTGGATGCGAGTTGTAGTTGATTCTTCGACATCAAGCAGCTTTGAATAGAACTTCCAGGGTACGCATTTTGCGGCGCGATATAGTGTGTTTGGGCTTACTTGAAGTGTCCTTACGCAACTGTGCTTCTAAATGGCCGGATGGTTACTGCAATAATTCATAATCACATCGGCGTGCATTACTTTCTGATAGACTTTTGTTTTCAGCACAATCAATAGCCACTCGGATCTGACAGTGGCTTACGAGACTGTAAATCAGACCTTAATAACCGCGCTGATGATGTTGCCTGGCCTGGCAACCAAACGTCTACACTAGGAATGCCAAGCTCGGAGATCAGAAGAACCCTCTCAGGCCGTGTTATGCCACATTTGAATGCCTGCGGAACTCAACAACTAGCCTTTGATGGCTCGGCCATGTGCTTCACATGCTTAATAGGCCGCTGCCTTACTGTTTGGTTTGCCAATACCGCACCTAGCTGGAAGTAGCTCCGATATGGTCAGTCACTAACATGCTAGGGGCGTATGAAGAAACCAAAATGCTGAGCCGGGTTGGCCCTTGTCTCTTTTCTGAACGGCAGGATCAGTCACACTGGTGGCTAGATGCTCTCTTGAGCATGACGAAGTCAATGGCGCCCTTACCGTAGATACGACGCTTTCGGCTCCTGACTACTCAATCTGTCATTTATATCTGCCCATTCCCCTTAACTCGTAATAATTGCTATTATTGGAGAGCTTTGAGGCTGCTCTCTCCCAGTTGCTACTACTATATTATTATTATTGTTATTATTATTAGTTTTACAACTTGGGTTAAGATATCTTTATTCACCTCATCTCGGTAACAAACTGAACCGCATATTATTATTTCAAGTACATTAACTCTTTCCTGACTCATTTCCCAAATTTTCTCTGGAGCTCGTGTGTAGAGCGAGAGGACTGAAGCAATACTTTCATGCATTGTTTACTTTTCCGCTGATCAAATAAAATTCTCGGGCATTTTCACCTCTCACTGTTGCAGCATTTTAGACCGTCAATAGAATATGTGGCTCTGTATATCACTGTCCCCCATACTCAATGGTTCACACTGTTGCTGGAGCCTTTAGTTTTGTAAAGAAGACTCTTTCCTGCAAAGTTGGGTTTGGACTACCCGTCTTGGGGTTGAAGTGAAATCCCCGGTGATGTATCGGTTTATTTCGGAGAAGACGTCGATCATCCCGATCACCAACACCATGTCCGAAGTTGAATGTGTTTCGATGTTGCTCCCTCCCCACGCTGATACCCTACGAGCGCGGTTTCGTCCTCCTTTGCTCCCGTTAGCTGAAGATAGACTGAGCTGCGAATGGAACTCGGAGCCTAATAGTTAACGGTTAACTCCTTAATTACCAGGCCACTGAAGTTCGTACGCAGCGCTTGGGAACGCAACTTAATTATGTCTCACCCTTTTTATTGTTGTTCGTAAAGAGTGAAGACCGTTTTTATGCATACCAAAATCGATAATGTGAACCATGGGGTCCTTCTCCACAATGTGAGGATGTGTGGTGTTAGTGGCGCACTGCAGCAGTAGATCGGTGACTTCCTTATTGGGAGATGGTGGGTCCAGGTGGATGACCACTTAAAGGACTGGTACCCCTCCACTAGCTGTGTACTCCAAGGCACAGTAATGGGGCCAATTTTGTTCCTGATCCACATCCACGAAGTACTTTAGCTTATTCAGTCGCCCTGTGCATTGTTTGCAGATTACCTGAATGTTTGGATTGTGACGTCCTCGTAGTCTGCAGAAGTTGACCTATCGGTCAACCCGGCCAACTCTTCGTTTATGAGCCTGGGGAGGGGTGGTAATTGGCGTATGTACACCATAACCGACCAACCGCTGCCTCCCACCAGTTCCATAAAGGATCTAGACGTACTCTCACGCTGTGATCTGAAGTCCGTTGACAATACGAACATGCTGTACAGAAACGGACTTCGCCTGCCTTGGGCGCTTAGTCGCAGCTTTTGCACTTGATCTGAAAAGATTGCCACCCATCTATCCTCTTTCATGATAATACCGGTGCTTGAGTACGCCTCATCCGCCTATTGTCCGATCATAATAGGTGGGATGCAGAGACTGGAACTGGTTCAGATTGTAGCTACCCGGATGCTCACCAACTTACGGGGTGTTGTACGGAGCCCGATATAGGAGACTAGGGCTGTATACCTTGTCATATCGGCGGCTTCGAGTTGATCTCATAATGACGCACCGGAGATTGCACCTGCGCCACTCACCTATTCTGAGGTCGCTGCTACACGTTCGCGAACTAAGCAGCACACGCGGACACAGGTACAAACTAGTGGTACCGGATTTGAAGCGTATTGCTCACACTCTGTGCTTCGAGTGTCGAGTGGTGAAATATAGGAACAAATGGCCGGAGACGCTAGTTGAGGCCAAATCGATGTCGGAATTTAAAAGATTCATCGACGCCCACCTTGCAGATCACAGGTACAGGGAGCGTATCTCGCCCGGATAAGATGTAGTGCAGTTGTAATATGCTGCCACCGCGCAGGATCAGCGACGTGATTCCGTGCAGGTTCCCGATTTAATTACGACGGAGCAACACAGGTTTATATTTTCTCGCTCTGTAATTCCAATGTTCAGTTCAGTGTTCACTACCTACTGCCGGAGGTGTTGAGTCAGCGTCCAGCAGTAGTAACTGTCTGTCTAGAGGTAGTTGCAACAGACCCTGGTAAGTCCATCGATCCTCTCTTCTGATATCCTCCTTGAGCTTCTCTGTAGAACACATCAGTGCCGCTTTCTTGGAGCACCAACGCCCCGAGTTGCATACTGGATCAATCGCACGAGGTTTCTCGAAACGCACCGGCACTCGCTTGCTCCTCAGTTGTTTTCAGCCCTCTCTCAGCTGGCTACCGTGTAACTGCACAATTTCATCTCCATTCTGGTTATTGGCCGTCACAAATTAAGTGCACAATTTTAATCACCAAACCAGGGGCGCGCGCCAGTTCGTAGATTTAAGCATCACAACTTTGTCTTGTTATCCGAGGATGCGGGTTCAACCCTGCGTAGGGGATCTGGCGGCTTGTGACTGGTGGTGGTTACGCGGCAGCGAAGCATCGGTGCCGCGTACCGACGTACTGCAGATTCCCTAGGGGCGTTAGTCGGCCATTTTCTGTGTTCAACAGAAAACTCTGGTTCTTCCGAGAGCTTGGGGGTCGTAGATACGAAGCGTATCCTTGGCTTATATCAACTGCGTACAGCCAATGTCGTCACACACACACACTCACACACACCAAACTTAGTTGTCATACAGCACTTACTAGATGAAAGTATCCGATTAGAATGACAAATCATTCTTTGCAATCGCTGCATACAGTTCACGGAAATCCTCCTTATCTACTGTTTCACTTTGCTGCCTAATCCTACCACTGAGAATTTCACTTTGAGAGTTTTTGCTGGGCGCTTTTAGCTATATTCTGAGCCTAAGGGATTAGTAGGAAAGCTGACCATTTCTGGTGAATTCCATTCACACGCTGCCCAGTTGCTGCACAATGCTACACCCGCTTACACAGTTTTCACTGGTTTTATCTCCAATTTTACCGCATTCTGTTTATTTGCTCACTATTTTTCATTGTCTATCTGTTTATTGCGTAACTCATCAGTTCCTCTTTCGTCACTTTTTCTTGGTAGATGTTTTCAGCCGAATGATATACCAAATTTCATATTTTTCCCTAGGCGCCATACGAAATTGAGGGTGATACCGTTTGCGGTGATTGCCACGAGGGTCCCCGCCGTGGGCGTCTTAATGTGCCAGCTCAACCTCAGTCGAGTCACAGGAACACAACTTCCGACACCACTAACTGTGGTCCCTTCTCTGGCCTCTGGTTCTGTGCATTCGGCAGCCTGGGTCTGTTATCTCTGTCCGAATTCATGAATTTAGCTGCCGATGGTGGAGCAGCCCGTGTGTTCGAGGATCCCGCCGAATTGTCGGCCTCAGTGGATAATTATTTGAAACATGAGGCAGTTGGTGGCCAACGGCCGCGTGCCGTCCTTCTCACGAATCACTCGCCCCCGGATTTTGATTTACGTAAATGTCAAGGTTGGTTATTTTCCCTGGTTTTCTCTTGGCATTACATCCTTAGGTAGAGCATCTACTCAACACCACTAGTACTTTTTCTGTTCTACATGATTCTCACAGGACTTTAATAGCTTACAAGTCTTTAAGCTATCATTGACCTATGTTATTGTCTTCATCGTATGGACACACTGACGTTTGGGGCCATCGTTCTTAGCCCATAGTCCGTAGCCAACCTTCCTCTCATTAGGCTGTCTATTCATCCACCACCCTGAATTAGAATTATGTACATTTCTCATCTTCTACTTTGCACAATGATTGTCCCCACTACTTCACTTACTGTTGCAGAAGTGTACCGCAAATACGGCTTCCCAATCATCAGCGTCGATTGGATGTTAAATTGTATCTCACTGTATCGCCGGATTCCAATAAACGAAGGATACCGGATTTGCCCCTCCTCAAAAACATCGACGATGTCATCTTCTTCCTGATGTGTTTCCACTTCCGCGCACTGACCGTTATGTGCGGACGCAGTGCTGAAGTGATTTCCTTCTCTTCTCTCTTTCTCTCTCCTCTACTTCGTCTCATCAGTTTATCGACCAGTGTATGTACTTTTATCTGCCAACAAAAAGAGATTTATCCAACCACTATGGTACTTCTTCTTCCTTCCGGTACGAATCAGCTGGAAGAGGTTGCGGTAATTGCCTACTGCTCCTGCCTCCTCAATTTTTTGAACCCGACTACCCCACCGGGCTTCCTAGTCAGCACGCTGGTTCCGCCTTGGTTCGCGCCTAATAATCCGTCTGATCACATTGTGCTCAGGGCCAGCCGGTAATTTTCTTCTGGATTCCAACAGGTTCACCAACCTCTCGGATATCCAGTGACTGGTGCGGTGACGATTGATAGTGCCACAAGCAGATGTTCCTCTGTCGTGCATGGTGACCGAGATCCTATTCCACTGAAGCTCAGTGTCATTAAAACAAGACAGCGAAAGTTCGGTACGCAATGCATCCTGGTAGGCTTGCCTTGACAATTTCCCAGTTGCCTCCCGGTAAAGTTCATGGAGAAACGACAGGGTACCAAGGCATGATCAGAGTCGACACAGGTACTCCAGTACGAGCGGCAATCCAGGATGGAACCACGTCATCTGTAACTTATGGCTGTGTGGTCAATTTGGCTCCATCGCTGGCCAGCTACAGGTAGACGCCAAGTGGCACTTCAGCGCCCATTGCGTCTAAAAGCAGTGCTACTAAGAAGCAGCTGTTGTTCCGCACACAGTTGCAGCAGACACTCACCGTTGTCAGTCCGTTCGGAGTTAAGTCCATAATTACCACCCACCTGAGCTTCTGAAGAGCTCAGACGCTCTACTTGTACGTTCATGTTCCCTGCAAGTACTATGCTATCTGAACTAGTAGCGCGTTCAGTTCATGATAGAATGTGTCCTTGGCAGCATCAGAACTGTACTCGATAGGAGCATAAGCGGAAATCACAAACCGACAGCGTTTTGTACTACTTCGTGAAGCAACCTTAGTTGATGTTGTCAAACGGGCTGCTCACAAACGGCTGTTCACTAGAATTCAATCAACCAACGATGGCACAGCGTTGAAGCTTAGAATAATACCTACACCAGCTTGACCCGTGAATGTTGCATCAGCGTCTCCGGATGCGTGCAACTAATAGCGAGAAGACAAGCCGGGCGCTGTTAATTCAACAATCCCATTAGTGTCATTTATCCTAGTTTCGGACACACATCAATACCCAGTGAGTGCATGGTGCGTACGAGTGCAGCCTGTTGACCTATTTGTCTTAAAGTGCGAACGGTAAACGCAACCAGGGAAACGGGACAACGTGACGTTGTAATTTACGTTCGCTTTTAGTCGTCCTGTGGGTGTTGAGGGAAGGTGGCTGTAGATAATTCTACTCCAGGGGCACTTCGGTTGTTGCCAATTAACCTGCGAATCGTAGAAGGAAGGTTAGTTATGGGGGTTAGGAGGGGAGTAAGAGAGGTAGGTGGAAAAGCAAGAAACGAGGCTCCAGCAGTAGCATGTGTTCGCTTATCCGCCCTGCTTCACGTAGAGGATAACGCGACCCTTGATAATCTGCGCGACAGCCGATGCAAGATGTGGTTTATGTTTGAAGTAATACTCATGGTTCTACGTGGGCTAATATACAGCAGAGGTGTCCAGACTTACACAAGAAAACGGTTAGGGTCTTCAACCAAGCTGGTCGAATGTTTTTGCCTAGCAATTCTTCTTCCCATAAATCCAATCCAAATCAGGTAGAACTGCGCCGCAGTCACTCGTCATAACCAGGAACAGTCGCAGGTGGGTATATTGTGTGGTGCGGGTAATTCCTCTGTGACGGCCTTCATTCGTCACGATTGACAATAAACCCATGGTATTTCTATGGAGACATTGACGTAACCTTTAACTGTTCCTAGTGCCAAACTGTTCAATTCTTACGGTATTTGCCAGCTGAGAACTTTGGTTTTAAACGTTTCGTCACCAGTTGAGATGGCATCTTCGATGCGGTTTCGCCGCAGATGTTGATGGAATGCAAATCTTGGTATAAATCTTACCAGCCACTTCTCCGTCTCGTATACAGACTTTTGTGTCACCAACTTTGACCTACTCTGATTGATTCCACATTGTGCTCTGCATTTTTACTTGGGTAATTGCCATAGACTACAGAAACATCATCATCATCAGTACACGTTAGCTGTAGGTATTAAATCTACTTCAGCTAGTGCGCCGTAGTTAAAAAAATAAGATACATGACAGAAAACGTCGTACAACACATTACGGAATGCAATAACTTTAAACGTAATATGATGATTACTGTCATATTAAACATCACGTGTGAGAACGTAGTTAGACGGGGAAGGTAAGCGGGAATGAGTGAGACAAAGAAACAGTACGAACGCCAATGGGGGCTGACTCTTGATCATTTCAACAAGTATTTCCAACGAGACGTGTTCATCGTCCTTCGGATCTCTGCCTGGCAGTCGGAAGACGCCAACTTCGAAGTGAGAGTATAGTGAATTATTCTTGCGAACGTTTCGAGATCAAAGAACTTGCAGGCGATCAGCTCAAATCCCTTATTTTATACCTGTATTAACTTCTACAACTGATACAGATGTCCGAAATCGGATGCCCATGACATCGACAGTTCCCTCGCAATTGGAGTTGCGGGAATGTTTCGATAGCATATAGTAGCGGTGCTGCTAGTGCTCATTCGCGCCATACTCTACTATCAACAACCGTACTTCGGTCGCATCACCAATTTTGATCGCACCAAACGAATGAATCCCTATATAATGATTGTATCAGGTTGCATAGGTGATGTCATTCTCCGCGTCCTATTGGAACTCTGAAGTAGACTCGGTTTTCTTTATAATGGGTCTCAGAATTATTCTTGAATGTGTCTCCTTGAGTTTTTGAGATGACAATGTGTGTTTGTACCTGTGGGGCCGAACGCCGCGTTTGCAGCTGGACATGGTCTTGTTGTTTTCGTTTCACTGTTAAATTAGTTGTGAATGATCTGTCATTGTGATCGTCAGTTATTAAATCCGCGGTCGGTAAGATGTAGATCCGTCAGCACAAAGAATGCGCCATACCGGACAGTGCATTAACCGAGCGTCCGGTCACACAAAGCCAGCAGAATAGCGGATAACATAGAGTAAGGTAGCATAGTGTCAGATAGATCGTCAAGCGCTCAGCCTGAGAGGCATCTATCTACTAGGACACGTTGACCGAATTGGTTGTACCAACCGATCAAAGGAAGTCGAGCCTAATGCTGTCAGAATGGCGGAAGTATATGGGCTAACTTCATGTCTGAAAATGTACGAACAGGAATCCTGTGTTCCGATTGTCTTATCAATTTCTAGCCTAAGTGTGCGAAACTCACATCAGACGAGTTGAAGCAGTACATTAACAATCCACGATGATCGTTGCCTTCCCCCGTGGCTCAGTGGTCTCAACCACGGTCTGGCAACAGTCGAGTTGCGGGTTCGAGCCCTACCAAGGGTCCGATGGAATACGCACTGCTGACGATTCCCGAAAGGATGAAACGCGCGTACAGTGCTTTTCCGGGGTGTGGCGGCTGTCTGAGTGAGTCTAGATGTGACAAATTTCTACCTATAACATCCTATGTGTTGTAGCTAAGCCCGCCAACATGCTGTGGGTTACTCAAAGCACAACGGTGAATCGATATTTCTCCCAGTTTTGCCGAATACCATTGATGAAGCAGAATCCATCCTGCTATCGACAGCTAGTCTCCTGAATTGGTCCTTTTCCCTCCCTCATCTTCCCGAATATTCCGTGAGCGATCGTAAATAGACGAAGCACGGCTTGGTAGAACACTGAAAATACTCACTAACGTGACTCATACTTGTTTATGGTGTCCCCGAGGATGCAGGGTTTGATGAACGTGCAACGACCAACTCTAGCCAGGTGCACTGGCGCTACATTCGCGAGATCCTGTCCTTGGAGAACGTAGCTCAGTTGATCTGGTGGCTACATGGATTACAAGGTTACAAAAGATGTCGCCCGAGAATTGTGGAGGTGGTACTCCAACCCAATCAGATGTCGCTAAGGGTATTGGAGTACTGATACGCGAATTGCAGCAGATCACCTACTGAGCTCCAGCTCAAAGAGGCGTCCTCTAAGTAAACGCGTGCAGAAGCGATTTAATCGCACCACATCCAATCAGCTGTTTGATCAACATTGCCCATCTGGCTGACGGAACTGGTGTTCACAGCTCATGCGTTACATACGAAGGGATAAACAAGGATGAAATGATGGAACCACTGGATCTGGCACAAACTGGTTTGTCGCCGCCTTACTCAAAAACGATTGGTAACCAGCCTTCGACCGCTCTGGGTAATCTCACACCTAAAATACACGTCCCCGACTCACTACTGAGATCAGAGGAACTTCCTTGCATATACACCAACGCATAAGGTCTGAAGTGCGGCTACGTCAAGCATCGTAACTGAAACCTCTTGCACTCAGAAATAACCGATATCGTAGTCGATATACATGGTAGGTCCCTTGTTCGAAACGATCGCGTCAGCAAGGGAGGTGGGATACTTCTGCACTACCGCAAAGACCTACGGTTCGAACCGGTTGATGATTCGCAAACACTGATCATAGGCATTGGTGCCCTATGCGACCGAGACGTAACGACATGTGCCTGCCGGTAGATGTTTGTTGTTCCCCAATGTCTACTCCAGAGATGAACTCCTGTCTGACATTTCCCTTGCGAACAATCCTGTGATCACGATTTAGCCATGTTGTCATCTCAGTTGACTTCAGTATTCACGATCTGGAAGTTCTGGCATCTCCAGTGAACAGTTCAAGGCCGACCTGCATTATTTCATTACAAGCATTTCACTTTTCTGCCATGTCATTTCGCCTACCAGACTCAGAATAGGAAATAAACCATCATTGTTGACTTGTGCCCACGAACGAAGAGCTCACGCTCGAGTGAT